ACTGACCTAGGGTGAATTTTAAATAGGGATAATTTTTAATGATTTTAATAATGTCACAGCTACAAATATTCGGTTTTAATTGGCTTTTATAGGGGAAATGTTGTGTGTGTTGTTTGTATTGTGTTATTTTAATATGCTGTGAGCCGCCCTGAGTCCCGTGGGGAGAAGGGCGGCATATAAATTATGAAAAAATAAAAAATAAAAAAAAAATAACACAGGGGTCTTCAAATGTGGCCCTTTTATGACTTGTGGACTCCAACTCCCAGAATTCCTCAGCCAGCGTGCCTGGCTGAGGAATTCTGGGAGTTGAAGTCCACAAGTCATAAAAGGGCCACGTTTGAAGACCCCTGACATAGCAGAAAAATTGAAAAGGAACATCTCTGTCCATCTTCATGAGTCTGTCGTCTAGGAGGAACCATTCTTTGTGTGATGCTAATCTATTTTGGAACAAGTGAATTGCACAAGTCACCTCTGATTCATCCAGATGTGGGTTTTGGGGGTTTTTTTTGCACTGGAGGCTGAAAACTGGACAGCAGTCCCTTTCAACCTCAACATTTATTACACAATCTTTTCAAACTTCTCCAGTGTGTACAATTCCAAAGTCTGCACCCCGATTTTTCTTAAGAGCGTGTCCGGGAGCTTTTGCAGTCCAAAAAGGAATCAAATGCACACTAATGTATATTATTTCAGGATGAAAGAAAAAAAAGCTCCAAGACAGACACAAACACAATCATTTTATTTATCGCAGAGCAAAGAACGAAGGGAGACCTCAAGGAGATTTTTGGCGTGCCAGACTGTCTGCCGTTTTGTTTCGCTTCGCTTGTCTTCCTGAAAACCGCGGAATTAAATTTGTCTGCCATCCTTAAGAACCAGGACATATTTAAAAAAAAAAAAAAAAGACACCACCAAGGACAGGAAGAGATATTGTGCAGGGGAAGTGCTGAGCCAAGCAGTGCAGAGTTCGAATTCAACCATCGCTGTCCACTAAAGCTAATCCTCAAGTTACAACCGCAATCAAAACGAGAATTTCTATAGTTAAGCAAGCAAGCCAGTGAATCGTGTGATCGTTCAGTGGTTGCACCCAATTTTTCGGCCACGGTTGTTAAGTGAATCACTGCCGTTGCTAAATGAGTCATGCAGTCATGCGGCTTCCCTTTTGATTTCCCTTTTGTTAGAAGCTAGCTGTGAAGATCACAAATTTTGATCATGACACCCTGGGGATGTTGCCCCAGCATCGTGACTACGTGATGGTTGACAAGTGTCCGGATTTTGATCATGTGACCTTGGGAAAGCTGCGATAGTCATAAGTGCGAGGACCGGTCGCTTTTATCTCATTTTGAGCGGTTGGTTGCTCAAACTCGTAAGTCGAGGACTGCATTCACAACATCCACAAGGAGGCAGGTTGTTCCACTGATTAATTGTTCTAACTGTCAGGAAATTTCTCCGTAGTTCTAATACTGCCTTTATTCTTACCCCAGGTTTTCCTTACAAGCATTTGCAGCGTCCAGGCTAGATTGCAGCTCTGCTCATTACCAACGGCTAAAACCACTTGTGGCTTTAACACAAAATGTAAAAAAAAGTTTATGGACATTAACAAAAACGCCGGTCCATATGAGCGAAACATCACACCAGGCTACGTTCAAATCCAGATGACATGAGTGCACGAAGTGGCCTGCAGTTTTCTGGAAATTTTACTTTTTACTGGATGCGCAATCATTCATCGCAGCCCAGTGGATCCAAGCCGGGAAAATAGCAAAAGAAAATTGGCACAACGAGCACAAAAAGCCAGTGCACAATCCTTGTCTTCAAAAAAATCTAATTTATACAGGATGATTCTTACGTTCGCCGAAAAAGCGACTTTTCGCTTACAATGGCAGGCTGAGTGGCTTTCTAGATTTCTGTTATGATCTACTCTGGCAGTTGTTTTTTTTCAAACTTGGTGACGTTCAACAGATGCGTGGACTTCAACTCCCAGAATGCCCCAGCAGATCGACACATCTTATAATAGAGCCTACCCCGTTTTACGGTTATAAGTGGTGACGATCGTAAAGTGGGTCATCTACGTGACCGACTTGATTTTGCAACCTTTTTTCAATGTTTGATAATGGCCACCCCAAAAAAGGTCCTAAAATTGGATTGGTCAGGTGGATAGCCTGCTTTTACGACCATCGCAGCTTACGATGATAATGGTCTCATTATGGTTATAAATCAAGGGATCCAGAAAAAAAGCATGTCTCGCCACAAACCTCTAGATGGCAGCAGAAATCCAAAATGGCTGGATTTTTTCAAGCTCCGCTCTAATGGCCTCTTGCAGAAAGGGGAGCTACAGGTGGTCCTTGACTTACGACCAAAATTGACAGTCGTTAAGTGAGTTTTGCCCCACTTTATGACCTTTCTTCCCACAGTTGTTAAGTGAATCCCTGCAGTTGTTAAGTTAGTAACACGGTCGTTAAGAGAATCTGGCTTTGCTTGTCAAAAGGTCGCAAAAGGGGATCACGTGAGCCCAGGACACTGCAACCCGTCATAAGTACGAGTCAATTGCCAAGAGTCCGAATTTGGATCACGTGACCCTGGGGAGGCTGCAATGGTTACAAGTAGGAAAACCGATCATAGATGACTTTTTCCAATGCTGCTGCCACTGTGAACGGTCACTAAATGAATGCTTATAAGTTGAGGACTGCCTGTATTCGATCGCCAGTCGCTTAGAGGGAGGGGGAAAGTCCGTTTATTTTTCACATTACAGGTAGTCCTCGCCTTAACGACCACAACTGAGCCCAGCATTTATGTTGCTAAGTGAGAAATGGGTTGAGTTTTGCCTTGTTTTTAATGACTTTTCTGGCCACATTTGTTAAGTGAGCGACGGCAGTTGTTAAGTGAGTCACATGGTTGTTAAGCGAATCCGGCTTCCCCATGGGCTTTGCTTGTCAGAAGGTCACAAAAGTGGATCGCAAGACCCCGGGACACCGTCATAAATATGAGTCAGTTGCCAAACATCTGAATTCTGATCGTGAGACCCTGGGGATACCGTAGCGATCATAAGCATTTGAAAAATGGTCGCAAGTCATTTTTTCCAGCGCTGAGGTAACTTTGAACCATCGCTAAACAAACGGTTGTAAGTCGAGGACCACCTCTACAGCAAGCCAGAGTTTAGCCTGGATAAAAGCAAGCAGGGCACGGGGCCCTTTCAGGTGAGAGACCTTGTTACGGTGGTGGAATTAAAGAGACATTTACCTCAGAAGCCCTCGATGGAGATGGAGTGGGATGGAGGGGGACAATGGCAGATTGCTGGCCTCGTCACATAAGAGCGACAATCCCGCCGTTCACGGTTAGACGTGCTGGTTAAAAACATCGTGCCGAGGGTTGAGTTCTCGTGAGTGCGGCACAAAGAACTTCCCCCCCCCCCGTGTTAAAGACGGTTAATGCTCCGAGAACTGAGAACTGTGTGGCCATAGGTGCCTTTTCTATGTGTGTTTGCGTTCTGGCAATAATTAGCAGGGGGCTTTGGACCTTCAGAGCTATGCAGGGAAGTGCTGAGCAACTGCTGGTGCGCATCGCACAGAGTTGTGGCTTGCAATAAAGGAGAATATTTATAGTCAGGGTTGATAGGAGGGGGGTCCTTAGTGCTCTCTGAACTTGGCTGTTTTCTTGCAGACGTTTCATGACCCAACTAGGTAACATCATCAGTGCTGGAAGGAAATAGGAGGGAGGAGGAGGAGGAGGAGGAGGAGGAGGAGGAGGAGGAGGAGGATACAGGATCCTTGGTGTTCTCTGAGCTTGGCTGTTTTCTTGTAGATGTTTCATAACCCAACTAGGTAACATCATCAGTGCTAGAAGGAAATAGGGAGGAGGAGGAGGGGGGGGAGGAGGAGGAGGAGGAGGAGGAGGAGGAGGATGGGTGCCTGGAGACTAAAACATATGAAGAACGGCTGCAGGACTTGGGTTTGGCCAGTCTAAAGAAAAGAAGAAATAGGGGAGACATGATAGCAAAGTTCCAGTATCTGAGGGGCTGCCACAAAGAAGAGGGGGTCACGTTGTTCTCCAAAGCACCAGAGGGCAGGAGAAGAAACAATGGATGGAAACTGATCAAAGAGAGAAGCAACCTGGAATTAAGGAGAAACTTCCTGACAGCGAGGACAATCAACCAGTGGAACAGCTTGCCACCAGAAATTGTGGGCGCTCCATCAATGGAGGTTTTTAAGAAGAGACTAGACAGTCACTTCTCTGAAATGAGTATAGGTTCTCCTGCTGGGGCTGGACTAGAAGACCTCCACGGTCCCTTCCAGCTGTATTCTATTCTATTCTAAAGGATGGAGATGCCCGTTTTAGACATCTTTGAAAAGCAGAAAAATGAACCCCCCTTCCTCCCCCAAAATAAGATTTCATCTATTCAAGCTTAGCTCATTGTATAAATGCAGCCAGGGGTCCAACGAAGCCCACCCCACCAATCTAAGAAGCACATTTGACTCTTAAGCCACCAATGCTGGTTTATACCTTTCCTTCTTGGTCAGATTCGTAGGGGCTCTCTGCGTGGCTTGGCTGGCACAGGGAAGGGGAAAGCTAGGGGCCAGGGGTTGAGGGGGAGGGGTCTCCGTGATTTGGGGAAGGGTTTCAGCTGGAGGAGGAGGAGGAGGAGGACCAGGCTGCCATCATCTGGGCCTCTTATAGGTCAGCCAGCTCCTCGGAGGTGGCCTTGGGCCCTCCTGCTGATCTTGTGGTCACCTTGAACTGGCGGCGCAGGAACCCGCCGTAGCGTTTCTGCTTGTCCCACTTGAGTTTGGGACGGATCCTGCGCATGAAGCCCCCGTAACGTTTTTGTAGCTCCTCCAGGTCACTCCCATCCTCCTCCTCCTCTTCCTCCTCCTCCTCCTCGGTACCCACCACCCCGGAGCCTCGCTTGGGGAACTTGCGGAGGAAGCCTCCGTAGCGTTTCCTCTCTGCCTTGAGAGAGCTCAGATCTGGTTCTCCCTCTCGGCGAGAGACCACATCTCTAATATCCAGCATCTCTAGATTGTCTTCGTCTGCCTCTGGCTCTGGGCCTGCCCTCTCCCCGATCCTCTGGAAGAAGCCCCCGTAGGAGTGGCTGACATCTCCCTTGGTGAGGACACTCTGTTGGAGAAAAGGGGGGAGGAAGAGGAGGAGGAGGAGGAGAGAAGGGAAGGGAAGGGAAGGGAAGAGGAGAGGAGAGGAGAGGAGAGGAGAGGAGAGGAGAGGAGAGAAGGAAATATAAAATGAGAAGGAAGAGAGAGGAGAAGAGAGAAGAGAAGAGAAGAGAAGAGAAGAGAAGAGAAGAGAAGAGAAGAGAAGAGAAGAGAAGGAAATATAATATAAGAAGGAAAGAGGAGAAGAGAAGAGAAGAGAAGAGAAGAGAGAAGGAAATATAAAATAAGGAGAGAGCAGAGAGAAGAGAAGAGAAAAGAGAAGAGAAGAGAAGAGAAGAGAAGAGGGAAGGAAATATAAGAAGGAAGGAGAAGAGGAGGGGAGGTGGGGAGGGGAGAAAAAATGGAAGAGAAGAGAGAAAAAAAGAGAAGAAGTGTTGAGCTATATTCATCAATGAGGCTTCTCAGGTTGGGTTACAAACTGGTTCAGAATTTCCAATTGTTTCACACACACACCCTCCATGGTCATATAACCACACTTTGGGCACTCGGCAACAGAACACAACACAACACACATGTTTTCAGTCACTTTTTTCAGTGCCGTCATGACTTCCAACGGTCACTAAATGAACTGTTGTAAATCGAGGATTACGTGTAGCCACCTGGCTGCTATTACCCTTGCCCTTTGCTTAGAGATAGTCCTCAACATATGACTGTAATGGAGCCTGCCCGTTACCATCATATGTTAGGGCAGTGGTGAAACGGGTCGGTATCAGTCGTGGGATTCAGCCGACTCACACCGGTTCAGCAGAACCGGTAGCTAAATTTTGCTGAGTTCAGAGAACCGGCTGAATGCACACTGCTTCCGGAAGTCTAGTTTAAGCCTCGGAGGCCTAGAGGAGGCTTCCCGGGCCTAGAACGGCCCACCGGAAGTGCATGGATGCCACTTCCGGAAGTTCGTTCTAGGCCTCAGAGGGCGGAAGGATACCTCCCAGGTCTAGAACGGCCCATCAGAAGTGCATGGATGCCACTTCCGGAAGTCCGTTCTAGGCCTCGGATGTCCAGGCCTGCATCCAATAAGAGAACTAGTTCAGGTATTTGAATCCCACCACTGGTTGGTATGTCATATCACCAACCCGATTTTATGACCATTTTTTCATGCTGACGAGAGAAAATGCTGCTGGTGTGGCCCAATACTGGACAAATTTTTAATCCTATTTATTTAACGTACAATTTACCTGTGCTATATTTTTCTTTTATCCGTTTTATACTTATTTTTATTTCTTCAGGGCTGAAGGCTACGTGTCCATCATTTGTAGGTGCTCTTGACACAAAGAGAGGAAGAAGGGGAGTCTCGCTTAACGACTGCAATGACTTAGGATCGTACAGGTAGCCCTCGACTTACAACAGCTCATTTAGCGACCATTCCAAGTTACAACGGCAATGAAAACAAAAAGAGACTTAGGTGCATTTTTCGCACTTACGACCTTTGCAGCCTCCCCGGGGGTCGTGTGATTTACCTTCGGAAGGCTTGACCACCGACTCATATTTATGACGGTCGCAGTGTCCCCGGGGGTGTGGGTGTCGTGTGATCCGCTTTTGCGACCTTCTGATGAGCAAAGTCGACGGGGAAGCCAGATTCACTTAACAACCGTGTTACTCATTTAACAACTGTAGGGATCCGCTTAACAAACGCAGCAAGAAACGTCGTAAAGCGGGGCCAAGCTCACTTAAGAAATTTATCGCATAAATTCTGGGCTCCCTTGCGGTCATTACATCGAGGAACACCTGAAATGGGCAGGCTCCGTTACTGTCGTAAGTCGAGGACCACCTGATTTCAGGTCTCTTCAGACAAGCCCTCTTACTAGGCCTTTCCCTCACTTTGCTGTCTGCGGTTATCTTCCTAAAACTGTGTGTGTGTGTGTGTGTGTATCAACACCTTTTCACACTCACCTGGGATCTGCCAGTGTCGTCCTCCTCCATCGGAAAGGAAGTTAAGACCGAGAGGATTTCCTCACATTTCCCCCATTCGACACTGGACCCCAAGTTACCTTGGCACCCCAAAGCGCAGCGCTGCAAAAAAAAAAAAAACCAGCCAAGAGAATTACAGGCAGTCCTCAAATTACGACCGTTCATTTAGCGACCGTTTGAAGTTACAGCAGCGCTGAAAAAAGGGACTTAACGACCGGTTTTTCACTCTTACGACCCATTGCAGCATCCCCCCGTGGTCAGGTGGTGAAAACTGAGCCGCTTGGCCACTGACTCATATTTACGACAGTTGTCGTGTCGTGCGATCCCTTTTTGCGACCTTCTGAGAAGCAAAGTCCATGAGGGAAGCCAGATTCACTTAACAACCGGGTTACTAGCTTAACAACTGCAGGGATTCACCTAACAATTGGGGCAAGGAAGGTCGTAAAATGGAGCAAAACTCACTTAACAAGTGACTTGCTTAGCAGTGGAAATATTGGGCTCAGTTGTGTTCAGTGAGAACAATTGATCAGTGGAACAACCTGCCTCCAGAAGCTGTGAATTCTCCAACACTAGAAGTTTTTAAGAAAAGACTGGACAGCCATTTGTCCGAAATGGTATAGGGTTTCCTGCCTGAGCAGGGGGTTGGACTAGATGACCTCCAAGGTCCCTTCCAGCTCTATTATTCTATTCTATTCTACTCTATTCTGTTTTGTTCTATTCTATATCCATATTTTCTGTTCTGTTCTGTTCTTTCATATTTTCAATTCCATTCATTTGTAGACATGTAAAAAAGGTTAAATCTGAGCAACTGGACCAAAGTTTATTAAAAGGAAAGCTTACAATCTCTTTATTTACCGATGTGCTTAGTGTCTCTAGATCCAACAGAACCAATTGCCTGGGCACCTGATCCCTGTCTTGACTCTTGGCAAAACAGTAATTATAATACTAATAATATTAATAATACTAATAATACTAATAATATTAACAATAATAATAATACTAACAATACTAACAATAATAATAATACTAATATAACAATAACAATAATAATAAAGTTGGAAGGGACCTTGGAGGTCATCGAGTCCAACCCCCTGCTCAGGCAGGAGACCCTACACCATTTCAGACAAATGGCTGTCCAGTCTCTTCTTAAAAACTTCCAGTGTTGGAGCATTCACCGCTTCTGGAGGCAGGTTGTTCCACTGGTTAATTGTTCTAACTGCCAGGAAGTTTCTCCTTAGCTTGATTAGTTTCCAGTGTTGTGGCCAACCTCTGCTGTAACTTACTAGAGGGTCGATGGGCTTGTCTGCATCCTGGCTGTGAAGGACACACAGGGAACACCGAGAGACACAATCCCAGGAAGCTGAGAAAGCCACGTGGAGATAGAGAGCCAGTCCCCAGAGTTGCCAGTCCATGCTTCCCAGAAGGTACCTGGAGGAAAGACAAGTCAAGAATTAAGAGCAATTACACATCAATGGAAGAGAATATTTCTAACTCAGGGCTGAACTGGGGGGTCCTTGGCGCTCTCTGAGCTTGGTTGTTTTCTTGCGGACATTTCATGACCCAACTAAATAACATCATCAGTGCTAGAAGGGAGGAGGAGAAGGAGGAGGAGGAGGACTGTGGGATCCTTGGTGCTCTTTGAGCTTGGTTGTTTTCTTGCAGATGTTTCATGTCCCAACTAGGTGACATCATCAGTGCTAGAAGGGAGGAGAAGGAGAAGGAGGAGGAAGAGGAGGAGGAGGAGGAGGAGGAGGAGGAGGAGGAGGAGGAGGATGGCTGTGGGGTCCTTGGTGCTCTCTGAACTTGGCTGTTTTCTTGCAGACGTTTCATGACCCAACTAGATAACATCATCAGTGCTATAATGATGCACTGATGATGTTACCTAATTTTGTAATGAAACGTCAAGCCCAGTGAGCACCAAGGAGTCTTCAGTCCTCCTTCTCCTTCTCCTCCCCCCCACTCCCTTCTAGCACTGATGACGTTCCCTAGTTTGGTCATGAAATGTCTGCAAGAAAACCACCAAGCTCAGAGAGCACCAAAGGCCCTGTGGTTCTCCTCCTCCTCCTCCTCCTCCTCCCCTCTCCTTACTAGCACCGATGTCCTCTTCTCCTTCTCTTTCTCCTTCTCCTCCTCTTCCTGCATGCTAGCACTGATGATGTTACCTAGTTTGGATAATGAAATGTCTGCAAAAAAACAACTAAGTTCATAGAGCACCAAGGACTCCATAGTCCTTGTCGTCCTCCTCCTCCTCCCCCCCTGCTCCTCCTGCTCCTCCTCCTCTTCCTCCTCTTCCCTGCAAACCTCACTCCCTTCTAGCACTGATGACGTTACCTAGTTTGGTCATGAAACGTCTGCAAGAAATCAATCTTCTTTCCTTTGAAAATGGAACACACAAAGACGGAGACTTTCTCAGATGCGTGCGCCAACACTTAGCTTACACGCTTCGTCCCTCAACTGGCGGGCTGTTCTCGTGACCTCAGACTCAAACTAGGCCCCATCCGGATCCGTGTCCTGAATTCCATTCGGAAGCTTAACCTTCTTCCCGGGTGACAGGGCGGACTTTCTTAGCAAAACGTCCCTTAATTGGGGCTGATGGGAGAAATAGAACTAACCCTCCGATATTCATTTGTGCTAAATTAAGCCGTAATTTGAATGCTACGCATTATCATATGTCAAATTATCAGCCTCAGCAGAACATAAATTACGCCGAGCTGCCGGCTTCGGCAAAGTGGCGTGAATCACGATCCGATCCCAATCATTTGGCGTTCCTCATCTGCTGATTCCAAATTGCCTTAAGAGCGTTAATTAATGGAGCCTCAGAACATGATTGAAAGATCTGAGGGCCGCCATTCGGGGCTGCCAGTTACACACACACACACACACACGTGCGCGCACACACACAAGCTACAGAGTGTGGGCTTCGGATCACAAACTCAAAAGTCTGCAAATTGTAAATTGTTCGTCCTCAGAGTGGAGGAAATTGGGTCCCTTGTTTTCGCAAGAGACTCTGAAAAGATAAATCTCAGATTCAGGAAGTGCCAGAATAGGCGGATCCCAGATCAGGATGGGTTTAAAAAAAAAAAGTCAAGATGGCGGCCCCAGCCGTGAAATCAAAGCGACAACCTTATGAGGTGGGTTGGGCCGAGAGAGAATGATTGGCCCAAAGTCACTCAGATGGCTTTTGTGCCTAAGGCAGAACTAGAACTCACAGTCGGCAGGCGATTGGATTAAAGTCTCCCAGATGGCTTTTGTGCCTGAGGTGAGACTAGAACTCACCGTCTCCTGGTGATCGGCCCAAAGTCACCCAGTGGGCTTTCATCCCTAAGGCGGGAATAGACCTCCAGAGCCCCTTCCAAGCCCTAGGATTCTAGGAGAAACAGCAGCCCTTGGAAATCAAGCCTCTGATGATGGTGACTAAGGAGAAGAAATTGCATAGGTTCTCCTGCTTGAGCCGGGGGCTGGACTAGAAGACCTCCAAGGTCCCTTCCAGTTCTATTCTGATTAAGAGTAATCAAGTGCTGGGGGGGGGGATTAACCAGGAAGTATGTGAGATCCACCTAGACCCCTGACTTGGCATGCCTAATGTAGCCCCCTCTCCCAATTGCGAGAGCAGAACAAACTCTTATAACTATGATAGGCAGCAAAGGTATAACTAACAGAGAATGTAAGGTTTATGGTGAGAACATTTAATTTAATTGCCTCCAGAAATTGTGGGTGCTCCATTACTGGAGGTTTTTAAGCAGAGATTGGACAGCCATTTGTCTGAAATGGCATAGGGTCTCCTGCTTGAGCAGGGGGTTGGACTAGAAGACCTCCAAGGTCCCTTCCAGTTCTATTCTGATGTAATGATTTATTTCCTGGTATTGTAGCCAAGGAGTTGCTCTCCATGGTGCTGAAATATAACTCAAGCACTGTACTTTCCTGCTGTGGATTTCGCTCAAGAAAGGAGGATGAGAATGCTGAACGAATTACAGAAAAGATACAGGTTAGTCCTCATCTTAACAACCACAATTGAGCCCAAAATTTCTGTTACTAAGCGAGACAGTCGTTAAGTGAGTTTTGCCCCATTGTATGACCTTTCTGTCCACCGCTGTTAAGTGAATCACTGCAGTTGTTAAATAATAATAATAATAATAATAATAATAATACTAATAATAATAATAATAATAATAATAATAATAATCCCAGGTCCTTGGTAAGGACTCGATAGGTAGACAAAAATGTCAAATCCAGTCTGAACATCTGGCTGACTGTGTGATGATCAATAATAATAAAGTTGGAAGGGGCCTTGGAGGTCATCTAATCCAGCCCCCTGCTCAGGCAGGAAACCCTATATACCAAGTAACACAGTTGCTAAGTGAATCTGGCTTCCCCATTGACTTCACCTCTCAGAAGGTCGCAAAGGACATGCGACCGTCATAAATACGAGTTGGTTGCCCAGCGTCTGAATTTTGATCACGTGCCCACAGGGGAGGCTGCAATGGCCGTAAGTGTGAAAAATGGTTATAAGTCACTTTTTTCAGTGCCGTTGTAACTTTGAACGGTCACTAAATGAATGTTTATAAATCAAGGACTGCCTTTATGCCATCTAAAGCAGAAGGGTTTTTTTTTTAATGTCAAACACAGCACACAGCACAATATAACAAAATAAATCAGTACATTATCGGCCATAACAAACCACACTGCCACAGGTCTAGTAGCCGGTAGCAAAACGCAGCAGGCAGCTGTGGCACCTTTTTAGCCTAACACACATTTTTACTACAAGGCGTAATTGTGTCCGTGTCCTGTACTAAGCCTTCTCCAATGCTTGAATGTGGGGTTTAAATCGGGAGGAATTAAGGCAGGAAGTGGTGATAATGCAAATGTAGGTTAGAATATAGGAGCTAGATTAGAAGTACCCCATCCATTAGCGATTGTATTGTGTCAAAAACCCTTTGTGTTGGTTGAATCTTTTCCAGATATCCTGAAACCTTTTGATATAACGCCATTCCCCAGCCTCTCCCTCTACAGCACTGGCAGAGTTTCATTGTCCCCCAAAACAGCCACCTTGTAATCCAGAATCAAATGTCCTGGGAGATTATCTGGAGTGGTTCATACTCAAAGTAGAATTCAGTTATCCCTTAAGAAAGACGAGGGGTTTGAGATGAAGGACACATGGCTTCCTTTTCCTACACAGACAGGAGTCTGTCTAAGAAGGCTTGCATTGGAGAAGAAAGAAAGAAAGAAAGAAAGAAAGAAAGAAAGAAAGAAAGAAAGAAAGAAAGAAAGAAAGAAAGAAAGAAAGAAAGAAAGAAAGAAAG